GATGACAGCTGCATTATCGACTAAAAGTTAATAACATTTCTGGCTTTATTTAAAATATTTTAATTTCCGAATCCCTAATAGGGCTTTAAATGTATGACTACTACTATATTATTAGATTGAATGTTACACGATTCAACTGAGTATAAAGAAATAAAGGGGGTCAACGAGAAAGGGGCCGAGCTATTGTGTGGAAAAGCATGACTCGTTCGATGACGACGGTGATGACCATTAAGAAGTCAACCCAAAAACATTTTTAATATTATACATATATCGAAATCGTTCAAACGGAAGCTGCATATTCACCACCCCCCACAACCGCCCTACTTTGATAAGTGCTGAAAAGAGCTGTGGCATTGGGCTTAATAGCAGCGCCCATTCACACAGATGGCGGCAAAGTCAATGGAAGCCAAATTATAAGTCCCTTGCCCTAATAAAATAGTGTTAAAAGCCATAGGAGGTTCGCTGTGTATCAACACATTGTTAAAAAAAAACATTTAAAGTGCAAGACTCTTTCTTGCACACTCCACACTCGTTTAAGGCTCGTTTTCTCTAAAATTAGGCCTTGAATTGACAAAAAGTATGGAAATTTGCAGAATAAAACTGTTAGCTTATATTGAAAACGAGAAAACGGGCGTCAAAATCGAGTTTTTTAAATGGTTTTGAATGGGAATCTCCTGTTAAACAAGAGGTTATGTACAGTTAAGAAAAAAAATTACGAGCTACCTGACTATTAGCACTAACCATACAAGTGCTAATAGGTATTCGTAACTCAGCTAGCAAACTTCAAGCTAAATAGTCCCTCAGAAAACAATCGCTAAGAGCGTGGAGCACAGATCTTTCACGACGATATAAGCGACCGCCACGGCCCTATCTAATGAGCATAGGATAGTTTTTGGCGGCAAAGCAGTGGCAGATCCAATAACTTCTAAAATAATAGATCTATTTTGTGTCTACCGATAAATATTGCCGAAAAAATACACAACGTCTAATAACTAAGGTCTAAGAAGTTTTAAAGTGACATGACAGTCCTAGGCGTGGCCCAGATTTGTAATAAACATGCGCTGCGTTAGAATTATTCGAATCTGCATGTCAAATCCGAAATCCCTAGCTATAATTGTTTTTGAGATTTCGATACGCACAGGCAGACGGACAGACAGAAGTACATGGCTAGATCTACTCGACTATTGATCTTGATCAAAAATATATATACTTTATGGGTTCGGAAACTACCTGTTTATAATAACCTAACATAATTTTCAACGAATACAATATACCTGTTTAATCTGCTGAATGTTCAGCAGTTCATAGATTCATATGTTTCGGGAACACCAGAAAACGAGATGCAGTAATATTCGTTTTATTGGCGGCAAATTTAATTTCGCGTTCTCTTCTTCATTTTTTCTGTTTGTTTACTTTTTGGTTTTTTTAAATACCTTTATTATTTTTTTAGCATTTAAAGGAACAAATTTATTCATTTTACCTTTGCAGAGAGTATTGTAAATACAGTCTAAAGTTTCAAACACTGTAGACATTATAAAAGTATATATATTCTTGATCAGCATCACTAGGAGAGTCTATCTAGCAGCCTTGCAGTTTCTACCACAATTAGCTTCTCAGTTTTGAATCCATCTGCAGAAAATGTTCTTATCAAATAGCTCCCATTGGAACAATCTCGAAAATAAATACACTTTTTAAATGTTTCCGTTCCTACACAGGAATTTTTTATTTCAGCGTGACAAATCGGAATATTTAAAAAGTGTAATAATTTAGTTGAATGCTTATTTATTTTTCGTCACAAAATCAGGTATCAGATATTTTATATGTTAAAGGTGCGATCGTCTGGTCTTAAAGAAAATTAATATTTGAATAACTTTGTTGTTTTCAAACAATTTTTAAATGTTGTATTTTTTAAATATACCAAAAAAGTAAATTCTGCCTCTTATACACTTATGAACGCTGAATAATAATTTACAAATAGGTTTGAAAAGTGTATTCAAATGTCGTGAGTCTAAAGATGATTTCATGCTTTTTGTGGAAATACTTGTTTCTCAAGATAACATATGTGCAGTTTCCTATGACTAATCGCCTGACTTTGAAGGGTATCCCGAGCCTTAGGAGTTATGGCCGTCAAGGGGCTTCGGTTTGTAGCAGCTCTTTCCATCTGCTTCTTTGTTGTCTTTTGGCTTTGATTGCGGTTTGTGCCTCAAATGGCATGTGCGACATGTTGCACATAAGTAACTTTTTTCCCAGTGAATGATTCCCCAGTATTATGTTTAAAAACAGCTAACATAAATAGTCATAATACAATTAGCTTAAAAATGTAACGTTTCAAATTAATATTTTATTATTTGCGATACGTTAACATTTACAAGCGATATTAAATATTCACCAAAAGAATCCTACTAAGAGGCAGTTACACAATGATGTTTAATAGTAAAAGCCTTTTTCATATAGCAATCCACTTCATTTTAAGATTCTTTTCTTCAGTGCTATTATTTTGTCCGGAGTTGTACACACATGCAACGCGAAAATAATCCTTTGACGTGAGGACACCGAACGGTCTGCAGACTCGGGTTACATAAGACGCGGTCGGGCTGCTGCGTTTTTCTTTAGCCCATTAACCGGCCCGCAAAAGAAAAACAAGTAAAACCTGTAAGGGGCACCAAACCAGAAACCAGACACCAGACGCCAAGAACCTTCCCGTGGACTATGAAGTACTAGGGTGACCGATGGGTGGTGATTTCTCGGTGGTGGGTTGACTTTTCTCCTTGCGCCTTTTATGCACCCAGCCAATGTTTTGTTAGTGTCTGCAATTACCTGCGCGCCTCGGATATAACTTTGAGCAGAAATTGCGGCGTGCGTGCAAAGTTTATGTTTTCCATTGTTGTGTTTGTAGTAACTTCACATTTCCAGAAAACTTTCTTCGCCTTTTCTTTCGCCAATCTGCAGCAGCCTGCAACTTTCACAGAAATCGATAACTTTTCCTCAACAGCACTTTCAGGCAAAGTCTTTAGCTACCCCGAATGGTAGTTTTTTGCAATCAATTTCAATTATGCAGTTCAATTTGCAAAAATGTGTCACTTAAAATAACGGAAATTGCTAAAAAAAAAAAAAAAAAAAAACTAAATTAAAGAACATTACAAGCGGAACTTGGATGAAGAAGCAGAGCCAGAGCCGCTTACACTTGCTACGCGCACCGAGTACAAAAACAAAATGAAATCAAAGGAAAAAGCTGGCGAAACGAAAAGCCACCAAGTGGAATAGTGTGCTCTTTTTATACCCTTACAGAGGATGAGTGTACTTTAGTTTCCGTCACGGACTTGCAAAAACTTAATTATATTTTATAAACTTTTAAAAACTATAATTAAAAAAAAGGCAAACAAACTAATTTTTTTTAATTGCATTTTTTATATTTAAGGGTATTCCAGTTTAAATACGTTTTTTATTTACAAAGGCAAACAATATATTTATTATTTAATTAATCGAAAACATGCTTGTAACAATAACTTCACTGTTTTTTGTTTAATTTTACAAACATATTTTATATATATTATTTGTTCTTAATTAGATAGTAACGCAAGAGTATACAACTTTTGAGTTAGGTGCGTCGTGATTATAAATGAGAGAGCAGAGAATCAAAGAGCACTAGGGAAAAGCAACCCGCAGAGTGGCGAAGAGCGTAAGTGTCAGCGAAGAGTAACCAAGAGGGAGGTTGAAGCATGGTTAGAGAGTATAAGTGGGTGGCAAGAGAGGGAGAGTTGAGCTGATGCAACAAAAAAAAAGTGGCATAGGCAGCAACAATTGCAGCCGGCTGCCATGTTATTGATAACACATTAACACCTATGTATACCCCCGCAAAACAATAAACTGTGACAATGTGTCAGTTAAGTTACTTGACCAACATGGGGTTAAGGAGCAAGTGGATGCGAATGTCCAAAGTCCTGTTTCCTTTGTCTTATGAGGCCATTTTCCTAGACACTTCAGGCAGCAAAAGAATTGCCTAGCTGTTATAGTTAGCCACATATGCATATGCAATTTTTAATTGCTTATACATTTGGAAATTTAAAAAGCTTATAATTCAAATTACAGCAAAATCTATAGGGCAAACACAATTTGTACACATACAAAAATACTCGGAGCACATAAATAATACATTATAAACTAACATATTTTTTATATTTTTTCTTTAGCTTTTTTGCTTAATTTATTTATTTTGTATATGAAATTAAAAACGACGATGTGATCCCATCTTTATATATTATTTGCAAGCATGAATTGTGTTTACTCTAGTATTGTGGTACCCCAGTTTTAATTGGGAACTTTTAAAACGCTACGTCCAACCGCCTTATTTTAATGTAATTAGTATAAACGTACTGCTGAATTTGTGTTCAAATAATCCTTGAATTACCCTGAGGAAAAATAAAACAATGTTAGATTTAACTGTTTACAAAGCAATTTTTGATTAAAAAAAAAATGTTAATAGATTAATGATCTAAATACTGTGTTTCTTCTTCTGTGTTTTTCGATGCTACATATATTTTAGGCAGAGCACGGTTAGTTTAATGTATTCATTGTTGTATTTTAGAAGTATCCCCATAACGCTTAGTAATTTAACTAATCTTGTTCGAATATAATAATTGATTTTGGGTTAAGCATAATTTTACAGACGTTTCGAAACTAAAAAGTATATTGACATTTAAATTGTTTTGTATTGAACTTTATTTATTTTACTACGATATGGTCTTTTGTTTTTTACTAACCTAACGAACATTTAAAGATGAGGGGCGGTGGCACTACTTTTGTTTTGACCGCAACTGTATTTAAGTTTATACCAAAATTAAAAACCCTCTGCAAATTAAAAAGCGTTACTTGTATTTGTCACTAAGGTTTCCAACACAGAATTTTTAAAGAAATAATTCTGGCTTGTTTCCTTTACCTTAGTTTCAATCAAAAGATTATTGACTGAATCAAGATATCGAATTAATCATGGTACACACAAATTAGATAAATTGGTCCCTCGACTTTATTTCGGCTTATCTAGGAGCTTAAGGTAGAAACTGCATACTGGGAATAAAGGCCAATGCTTTGGAGGTGGCGCTATTGGGGTTACCCAGATCTTTGACGATTCCCTGGACGCGGGCCACAACGTCACTTCGCTGGACATCGCCCCGGTCCAGCATCCTTTGGAAAAGCGTATACAATTGCCTGGCCGAAGAAGCCTGTGACAACTCATGGAGCTGCTCCAGGAGATCCTCAGAATATCCCTCGTACTTGCTTAGGTTGGCCGCCTTGGCATCGCGCTTCAGGAGATCGTAAACCAACAGGAAATCCACATAGGGCTTAGTGGGTGGAACCCTCTTTTTGCCTGCTATCGAGGCGCTACTCCACCGGTCCATGGCGGACTCAAAGTCAAAGGCAGCCCTTCCGTAATTATCGTCGTATAGCCGCAAAAAGTTATCCAGTGACTCTACGTCATTGGTAAAATCGTCGTGTTCGCTTTGAATATCACGGATCAGAGACAAAGGCAACTTGTCAAAGTCCACATCATCTCCGATTTCTTCAAAAACTGAATGGCCTTCGAACGCCTTTTCCGGTTTGGAAGTTGGGGAGAAAATACCCGGGCGATGCGGCAAAGTGGGTGGCGATGTTGGTCTCTCGGTTGAGGAAGTTCTATGTGGTGTCTCCCACCAACTTGGCGGTTGCCACCAGCCTGAGCCGGAACCTAATGTTCCACCCGGTCTCCTCGTCGTAGTGCTCTTCATTCTTGTGGGCAACGCTGTGGATGGCAGGGGATTCGCCGATGTAGATTGCACTCCTTCATTCGCACTGAAAGGTGGTTCCACTGTCGTGCTGGACAGTGGCTCATACTGAAGCAGATCTATAAAGTATGCCAATGCTTGCATGGAGGCGGGCAGATAGCTGGTCAGTAGGTTAGCCGGCGTCACTGGAGCCACCAGGCAACCTACTAGTATCACCACCAAAACCAACAGTGGACAAAGCGATAACCCACTGCGCATTTCTTGCTTTTCGAACTTTCTTCTGGCGAGAACGGTTTGCTCTGGGAGAATGGAGGCACTCAACTGAACCGACTCTTCCCAGCAGCCAGCGAGCATCTGTAGTTGGCTCTGTATCTGTCTTTGTCCCCGTATCTGTATCTGGTTTCCAAAATGGATGACAGTGGTCTCGGTTGTAGTTTATACACTACCAGAGGGCTTTGCAAGAGATTTCAAAGCTTAAAGGGAAATTACCGGGGTCTGTGGTTTGATATTTCATTTGTATAAGCTCTATATTTCAAAGCTTAGTAGATTATAAAACAGTGAAATAACGGGGTATTTAAAGGAAACATTTTTAAAGAATATTTTATTTTATATTTTTGTATTAACTCATAAAATAAAATGTTTATATAATTGAGTTTAAAAACTGTTCGATTTTAAAAATTAGTTAATTATAAATGACTAAGCCAAAGAAAATTATAGAAATACTGGTAAAAGTTTAGTTTTGTAAGGATTGTGTCCTGTTGAGCCTTATGATCACTTCAATCAAAAACCTTTCTAACCAAAAATGTCCATACATAAATTAAGGAAATATATTTTCGAATTACATTTGTTATAGAAATTTTAATTTTGTATTATTTTTGATTGAAGTGAGTATAAGGTATTTAAAGCCTCGGGTTTTAAGTTCTTTTTTTTCCTGGAGGTTTTGGCAAACTTGTTGAGTGGAGAGGCCAGCGACCGCGATCGCGCCTTGTTGCGTAAATTTTGTAACCGTCGACGATCGGAGGAGGGAATGTTGTTCTTGGAAAGAGTGAAAGATGTTTCGTTGCCAAAAAATAACCTGTTTGCTCATAAATATGCAAACGGAACACAAACACAGGCACAAAACCGACGGGACAGCACATTAACCAGAATCTGGGTGCTTTATTCATTTGGGCAGAGTAAAAAGGAAAATATAAAGAAATGCAGGTTTAAAATGCACTTCCTTACGATACATTTTTAGAGCCACTGGTGACCGTTATTGATTAATAAGGAGAGTGGGAGCGCAAAAAACATCCCGGCAAACAGCTGGAGAGGAGAGAGAGAGAAAAACAAAGAGAGGAAAAGAGCATAAGTTCTACCTGTGAAGCATTAACCTGTTGTTGTTATTGTGTTTGTTGGCTAGAAGAGTTTTCGCTTTTTTTAAGTAAATTGGAGCAAGGTAAACGGGTCAGCATAACGGGTTTCTTCTAGTTTTTTGGCGCAGACACAACGGTCTGACACACGTTTAACTAATCTTTTTGCATTTCCGCATGCACAATAACAAGCAGAGGCGGCGGCCAATTAGCACAGTCATGTGTATTTGTTGACGCGTCAAAACACACACACACGCATGTAACAATTTTCACAGGAACACTCCCACACCCAAACGGCCCCATGCAAATGTTTGCTCTGCTATCAATTCGCGGGCGTATCAGCCACAACTCACCGTTTCACTTGGTGCACTAACAGGTTTACCCTTCAAATCGCACTCTTCACATGGTTATTGCTTTCAGTTGACAAAGTAAATTGCGTTTTTCACGAATTTTCACTGCGTTTGTGATATGTGTTGGTGTTGGCTACCTTAATGACGATTACTTATTCGATACCGATAGTCGATGGATCGGACTGGCGCTGTGAGTGGCAAACAGCTGATTGCTGACTGCACGTGTAGTTGCGTTTTTTGTTTATGTAAAAACGCTTTTGAATCTGTGTTTTATTTATTACAGGGTAGTGGAAAAATGGCCAGAAGACCGGAGCATTCAGCACCGCCAGAAATTGTAAGGAAGCACAGATGAAATTGGGTCGGTTATCTGATTTTATACTCTTTCACAGTTCTACAACGATGATGAGGCCAAAAAATATTCTACTAAGTAAGTAAATTTTTTTGAGAAACATCTAAATACAAAATTGAAAATTTAAGCACCCGCATCATTGAAATCCAAGTGGAAATGGCCGAACGTGCCTTGGAATTGCTGGCCTTTCCCGAAGACGAAGATGAATCCCGCTTGATTTTGGACATTGGCTGTGGCTCTGGGCTCTCGGGAAGCGTTCTCGAGGACAGCGAACACATGTGGATCGGCATAGATATATCCAAGTCCATGTTAGATATCGCTGTGGAACGGGAAGTGGGAGGGGATGTGATCTTGGGAGACATGGGCGAGGGTATGCCCTTCAAGCCAGGCACCTTCGACGGCGCCATCTCAATCTCCGCCCTCCAGTGGCTCTGCAACGCTGACAAGTCATACCACAATCCTCACAAGCGATTGTTGAAGTTCTTCACCACATTGTTTTCCTGTCTGACGCGAACCGCCCGTGCAGTCTTTCAATTCTATCCGGAGAACGCCGACCAGATAGAAATGGTTACCTCGCAGGCCATGAAGGCGGGCTTCTACGGAGGATTGGTTGTAGACTACCCCAACTCCGCAAAGGCCAAGAAGTACTACCTGGTGCTGATGACTGGAGGATCGGCCGAGCTGCCCAAGGCTTTGGGTGAGACTCACTTCAACTTTTAAAGAAATACTCGTTTATTTTGCTTGATTTTCCTATTTGAAGGTTCCCCTGAAGAGGAGCGTCGCGTTAACTATATCAAGAAACGAGATGCCTGCCGCGAGGCACGAGGCAAGGCCCCTAAAAAATCCCGAGATTGGATCTTAGCCAAGAAGGAGCGGCGTCGGCGCCAGGGATTAGAAACCCGTCCTGATACAAAGTACACAGCGCGCAAGCGCAGCGGCAAGTTTTGATAAAACTATGCACAGTAAATCATACAAAAAATGTTTAATTATTTGGAGATCAGTTGATTTTTCGGTTTCGTACAATACTTAAGAAGTAAGAACATAAAAGGCGATATTTATTTTAACATTTTGAGTGATATACAAAATGCGTTCTAACACAATCGAAAATGAGAACTCCTAATACCCTTTACGCAAAGAAAAACACTAACGTTTCTTATTCACAAAAATAGCCTTTTCATTTAATTGATTAAACTTAACTCTATGTACACTGTGGGTTAGAGTACTCTAAGATTGCGTCTTGCCCGCCTGTTGCTCCCGCTCTTCCCGATCTCGTCTGTGCCTTTCCTCCGCCCTGTGTTTGGGCGTGTCATAGGAGCTCTCGGCGAGGAACATCAGATAAATGGCAATACCTGCGAAAATCAAGGCGAGCATTACCAGGTCCGTCTGGCCGGACATCTTGTTTGTCTCCTTTTGCACCCTGATTCGATCGTATTTGGCCTGGGCAGCCTGTCTCCGGTCAAAGGACTTGCCATAGTGATTACGAGACCACTCGTCGAAATTATAAATTGGGGTTCGACCCTCCGAGTCCGCCACACGTGATTTCTGGAAACGAGATTTGTAGAACTTGGTTTCGGGGTCGTCTTCCACCACGGGTTCCGCCACATCGTGGATATCCTGAGCATATTGGGCGCCCGCTGTATGCACAATCCCCTTATCGTAAAGGCGGCGGAGACGGTAGTTTCCAAGGACCTCGTAAGCCTGATTGATTTCCCGGAACTTCTTGGCAGCACTCTCGCTGCCCTGATTCCTGTCCGGATGATATAGCATCGATAGCTTGTAGTAAGCTGCCTTTATCTCGTTCTGGGTGCATTTTTGTGCAATTCCGAGGGCATCGTAGTGGCTCATATGCTGCCGTTGGCCCAGGTTCAGGCTCCGCATAAGGATCAGTGGACGCCACACCTGGAACATCCTGGATGCGTCCTTTAGCCCGAATATCTTATTTTGACTTCGTTATATCATATGAAAACTCAAAACAAACTGGATCAGCTGTTTGAACTTGAACTTGTTCACTCTCGCCTGCGTTGTTATCGATAAATCGATGCGAGACGGAACCAGTGCTGCTGTTGACTTAATAAATATATTTTAATAAAGCCTAGTACTCAGATCGACGAAATCCGTCCGTCAGCTATGAGAGAGAGTCATAAGTCATAATTTTGTTATTCATAGACATATACATCTACAGCATTCATAATAATCAAATATAGTTCCGAGCTGATGGGTTAAATTCGAAATGTTTTCCGTTTTTTAACAAGCCCAGCTGAGTGACAGCTAAGCCATAGCACACACAGTTCCGATGAACTTTCACGCTAGAAATAATCAAATTTTTACGCTGACGAAACTTTTCGTTGATCTATGTAAGTACTATGCTTATATTTCCACAGAGATCCATTTACCTTCCACCATCCGTTGAAGGGATGGTCCATAAGATTTTGCCGTTCCAAAAACTTCCCAGTTAGTCCGCCAATAAAACTTGACGATTACCACAGATCACATCAACCTTCCGATTTCAGCTGGTCTCAACAGCTTTGGTTCGTCAAAACATAAACAATATCAACAGGTCAATCATCTTTGTTTATGTTATGATGAGCGTGTTATAATTTTCTGCTTTTGTTTTGCAAGGCTGTAATAAAGAAAATTACAACTAGAACAAAAAAAGCTCTAAAACCTATTGGCTCCCGGTGCCGCCTCTTGGAAAGCGTGTCGTTCTTCCACGACGAAAAATGTACATATGTTTTTAAGTTTCTTTATTCTAAGCCCTGTAACATTTGTTTTCCATTGCCTTTAAAACCCTTCCGGCTATCTTGGGCCAAAGTGCATCCTCTTCTTACATAAGAAAATATACATATTTCAAATAAATAAATAAAAAATAAAAACAAGATAAATGTCCATAAGAAAGAAGAATGTTCCGCTTAAAAGATTGCTGAGACCTATCAATTTTAAGTAAATAATAATACTTTTTATAAATATTTAAAAATATTAATTTTATTTAGTTTTTTTTTAAAGTTAGCTTATTGTATTTACTTTTGGAAAATACAAGCTCTAAGTTTTTTGGTTTGTATAGACCTAAAATGAAATGGCCTATTATTTTGGCTTTAAAGCCAGAACTAGCCATATGTTCCTTTTTGGCTTTAAAGCCAGAACTAGCCAAATGTTCCAGCTCTGCTTCGAACAGCTGTGAAGCCGATTCGCTTCGAATGGCAACGGTTGCAACTATTTTGGTTTCGTTCTTTCTCGATCGTTTTTTTATATATAGAACACCGCAGGTTGAATTTTCTCACTCAGATTGCTTGGTTTTTCCGCTAGCCATCTGTATCCATCTGCATCTGTATTTATATCTGTGTGCGTACGAGAACTATCGAGAAGTTTCTGGCGACCCAAATTTAGTGAGTCATCGGTGATCAATTGGAAGTTGCAGCTAAAGTTTGTGTGAATCCTTACAGATAATTGTGTAACCATGACGAATACCATCAGCAGCGAGGAAGCATCCGATGCCGGCAGCTACAAAAATAAGGGAAACGAGGCCTTCAAGAACTCGCGCTGGGAGGAGGCTGTGCTGCACTATGGCAGTGCCATTAAGTTGGGCTCCAAGCACAAGGAGCTGCCGGTTTTCTACAAGAATCGTGCCGCTGCCTATTTGAAGCTGGAAAAGTATGAAAACGCCGTGGAGGACTGCACGGAATCGTTGAAAGCGGCCCCTGGAGACCCCAAAGCTCTATTCCGCAGGGCGCAAGCGTATGAGGCTCTGGAAAAGTTTGAGGAGGCCTACAAAGATGCCACCGCGTTGTTTAAGGCGGATCCCAGCAACAAGACCGTACAGCCGATGCTTCAGAGACTGCATATCATCGTGGAGGAGCGAGTGGCCCGCAATGCCAAGACCTCCACCAAAGTCAAGCAAATGATGGATCTCACCTTTGATTTCGCCACTCCCCTCGACAAGCGACGCTCCGCAGCCAATAACCTAGTGGTTTTGGCCAAGGAACAGACGGGCGCCGAGCTCCTCTACAAGGATCACTGTGTCAACAAAATTGCCTCCCTAACCAAGGTGGAAAAGGATCAGGACATCTATGTCAACATGGTGCGCGTGGTGGCGGCCCTTTGCGAAAACAGCGTGGAGCGAACAAAAGGCGTTCTAACGGAACTGGGAGTGCCATGGTTCATGAGGGTTCTCGACCAGAAACACGAGGAGTGCGTCTCCACCGCCCAGTTTTGCTTGCAAACAATTTTAAACGCTTTGTCCGGACTAAAGAACAAAACGGATTCCAAGCCGGACAAGGAGCTGTGCACCAAGAACAACCGCGAAATAGACACACTCCTCACCTGTTTAGTTTATAGCATCACAGATCGCACGATTTCGGGATCGGCCAGGGATGCCGTTATCGAGCTCATCACCAGAAACGTTCACTACACGGCTCTGGAGTGGGCAGAGCGCCTTGTAGAGATCAGAGGTCTGTGCCGCCTGTTGGACGTGTGCTCGGAACTGGCAGACTACAAGTACGAAAGTGCCATGGACATCACTGGCTCCTCATCCACGATTGCTTCCGTTTGTCTGGCCCGCATCTATGAGAACATGTACTACGATGAGGCTAAGCTTAGGTTTACCGACCAGATCGACGAGTACATCAAGGACAAGCTACTGGCGCCCGACATGGAGTCCAAGGTGCGAGTCACCGTTGCGATTACGGCTCTGCTGAATGGGCCGTTGGATGTGGGCAATCAGGTTGTGGCCAGAGATGGTGAGTACTAAATACTGATACTGAAAAGGTTCAATCCACACTGGGTCTGCCTGATTTAAAGATTACATTTTGTATTTATTGGTACGTAATACTGATTTCTCCTATCCTTACAGGCATCCTTCAGATGATATTGGCTATGGCCACCACCGACGATGAGCTGCAGCAGCGAGTGGCCTGCGAGTGCCTGATCGCCGCCTCCTCTAAAAAGGACAAGGCCAAGGCTCTGTGCGAGCAGGGTGTCGACATCCTGAAGAGGCTCTACCACTCTAAGAGCGATGCGGTTCGAGTGCGCGCCCTGGTGGGCCTTTGCAAACTGGGCAGCTATGGTGGCCAGGATGCGGCCATCCGTCCGTTTGGCGATGGAGCCGCCCTCAAATTGGCGGAGGCATGTCGTCGCTTTCTGATTAAGCCCGGGAAGGACAGGGATATCCGTCGATGGGCAGCGGATGGTTTGGCCTATTTGACGCTCGATGCTGAGTGCAAGGAAAAGTTAATTGAGGACAAGGCTTCCATACATGCTCTCAGGGATTTGGCTCGCGCAGGAGATCAGTCCTGTCTTTATGGTGTGGTCACCACTTTTGTAAACCTTTGCAACGCCTATGAGAAGCAGGAGATGTTGCCCGAGATGGTGGAGCTGGCCAAGTTTGCTAAGCAACACATACCGGAGGAGCACGAGCTGGACGATGTGGATTTCATCAACAAGCGTATTACAGTGCTGGCCAATGAGGGCATAACAACTGCACTGTGTGCCCTGGCCAAAACGGAGAGCCATAATTCGCAGGAGCTGATTGCCAGAGTCTTGAATGCAATTTGTGGCTTAAAGGAGCTACGCGGCAAAGTGGTTCAAGAAGGAGGCACTAAGGCGCTGCTTCGCATGGCGCTGGAAGGCACAGAAAAGGGTAAACGTCATGCCAGCCAGGCGTTGGCCAGGATTGGCATAACCATCAACCCTGAGGTGGCCTTCAGCGGTCAAAAGTCTCTTGATGTTATCCGTCCTTTGTTGAACCTGCTGCAGCAGGACTGCACGGCGCTGGAGAACTTTGAATCCCTCATGGCGCTTACTAATCTGGCCAGCATGAACGAAAGCGTGCGCCAGAGGATCATCAAGGAGCAGGGCGTGTCCAAGATTGAGTACTATCTTATGGAGGACCATCTTTACCTCACACGGGCAGCTGCCCAATGCCTGTGTAATCTGGTGATGAGTGATGACGTGGTGAAAATGTTCGAGGGCGCGAACGATCGGGTAAAGTTTTTGGCCCTGCTCTGCGAGGATGAGGACGAGGAGACGGCCACGGCCTGTGCCGGTGCTCTGGCGATGCTCACATCGGTGTCCGTGAAATGTTGCGAGAAGATCCTGGGCATCTCCAGCTGCTTGGACATCTTGCACACTCTGATCGCCAATCCCAGTCCGGCAGTCCAGCATCGTGGCGTTGTGGTAATCTTAAACATGATCAATGCTGGCGAGGAAATTGCCAAGAAGCTATTCGAAACGGACATCATGGAGCTGCTCAGCGGCTTGGGCCAGTTGCCCGATGAAACGCGTGCCAAAGCCCGGGAGGTGGCCATCCAGTGTCTGGCGGCAGCGGAGCGCTATCGGCTCATCGAGCGTTCTGACGATGCGGAGATCCCCGACGTGTTCGCCGAGAGTGCCAAAATAACCGAGATTATCGATGACTGAAAGAATTTCGTTTGCGGTCTGACCTTTCTGACCCTTCTGTGCCTTTTGTTCTCTCCTCATTTCATCTTCTCTGCTATAATCACCGTGTCATCCCGAAACTTAATTTATTTTCTGCAAAGCATCAAGTGCACCCAAATTGTTTTATAAATAATTTACGAATTTATTATTAAATTCAAATTAAAGTTTGTCGTTTTTGAAGATATTCTTTTGTTTTATAAATAATGTACGAATTTATTATTAAATTCAAATTAAAGTCTGTCGTTTTTGAAGATAATCCTTTTTACTTCTAGTGGTGGGCATCAGCTGTGATTTTATTCTCGTTAAAAAAAATTAAAGTTATATTATAACTATTTCTTTGACATTCATATACCAATCCAATTAAGTATCGAAAATGGTAAGCTGCTAAAAAAATAATAATATCCTTGAATATTTAACTTAACTAAAAATTAATATAAGTAGCATTTTTTCTCCTTTTTTTAATTAAAAAGAAAATGCTAAAGTTAGCATAATTTTTCTATTAGAAAATTGTTTATTTGTGTTTTAATTTCTATGTATTGAAAGTTTAAGCCTTTCATTTAATTACAAGACTACTTAAAGTCAATAGC